TTCATTAATTATATTTCGTAAAATATATATATATATATATTCATATGTACATACAGGGTATCTCAGCAATTCTGTTACAAAGCGATATCTCCATAATCGTTAATGATACGCGGAAATGCTTGAAGAACAAATTGTTTGGTTCGAAGGGACACATGTTGTGGTGGAAATCATTTTTTTGTAAAGGTCATATTTTTTTGAGATTTCAAGGTCATCGATATTTTTTCAAATGGGATTACATATTTCTATCATTATATCATGATAGCTAAGATCAAGACGAATCTTGGGTACGAAAAATAAAGAAATTTTTAGACATGGACAACGTTTATTAATACCAAATGCCAACATTTGTTGTTCCTTTCGGTAGACATCACGTTTTTTGGTATAACGTTTTGGTATGGAGTATGGAGCTCTGTCAGAGTTTTCATAATCGAATTAATAAATGTCTTGAAATCAATGGAAATAATTTTGAACATTTATTACAATAAATTTTTCATTGCTGATCTCCCTGTTGTATTTATTTCATTATGCGTGTCCATGTCTAAAAATTTCTTTATTTCTCGTACCCAAGGTCACACGAAGGTCATGGTATTATAGGTTATTAGATTCATCTTGATCTTAGCTAACATAGTTACTGAGACACCCTGTATATGTATGTATATATATTTAATATTTATATATATATATATATAAATCTAATAAATTAATTAGATTTTCAGACAGTTTTATATAATCTTTCATATAAATTAAATAAAATTATGCTTTCCGTTTATCCTTCGCTATTCGTCTGTCGCACGCCACTATACATTACTATCCATTATTAATTGCATGAGAAATAAATGATTTTCACAGATAAAACAACAAGAAACGCATACATTTCAAACATATTACTGAAGTACTTTTGTTACGAGCTATTATTGTTGTAAAAACAAATTTTTATTTTATTTACATATGTACAACATTCTTCAAAATTGGTAAACTTTATGTTATTGATGTTCTTGTAGAAACAATTAACGGAAATGAAACGATCGCGTACTAACATTGAAAAGAATAAGTAGTTTTCTCAATTACAATTTACAGTACATTTAAAATATCTAGCCATATCCATATACAAAGTTAATTACCTAAGATTTTCACCTAAAATATCTTCTTTTGCTACTAATGATACAAGAAAATGTGTAAGGGATAAGA